GGGTTAGATTTTAATTTATAACTCGAGACTCGAACTCAAATTTGATTTTTCAACCCGAACCAAATCCAATTGAACTTAAAAACCAACACAAACGGATCGATTTGGGTTGGGTTGATCGATTTGGATTGATTTTTGTCCAGTCGTAGGTATTTGTAAAGAAACTCATGAAAGGAACCAACACAACAGATAAGAAAAATGGAAAACGAGCCAAAAAGGGACAAAACAAAGAAAACCACAAATTAATCGTGATTCGACAAATCACCGACACTCTCATAAGAATATCTTTATAAACGCAAAAAGCTCAAATATAATGAGCTCTCTCAATCTTAACTTGACCCTACACAAAACTTAAACACTCGACATACATATTCAACTTTTCTTCCCCAGTTCTCTCACTCCGACAATAACAATTTGACTGCAAGTATAATCAGTCTTTGAAACTAAGCTAATAATTCCTTAGAAGGCTGCCAAAACCAAAATTAAAGCATCAAAAGCACTGAATCTTACACACTAAGCACAGAAATATATAATTGCATCGAAATCAGGCTAATAATGCATAGCATAAAACACTGATTTCCCATAAAATTTGGTCAAATTCAATGTCGTTTCACAATTAATTGGCAACTTATGAGCCCTAATAGATCAATTCTCTTTCAAACATACTAGGTTGGAATACTTTATCCTTCATGAGGTGGGTGGACCTACATCAGATTTATACAAATTAAAAAAAATGTAACTAATATAGTTGGAAATACAAATTTTACTTATATATTTTTAAACGTACCCATATATTAAATAATAATTTAAATATGAGCAGTTCATATTTGTTAATAACAGAACAAATTAAATAAAAATATATTTAAAAAATTAAGAAATTAAGCCCATGTTTGGAGCATATTTTCGGTTCATTTGAAGAAAAATATGACTGTCAGCTGTCAAATTTGGGTACCATCTGTGGGATGAATGTCAAAAAAAGTGGCTGCCTTTCATTTCCAACGGCTATATTTTTCCTTTTTTTGGAT